GTGTTGAAAAACAAGGACCTGGTATGTCCCCGACTGAGCTGGAGCTGTGTGTAAGGTGCCTCTGCTGCACAGGGAGGTGGTGGGGCTCTAGGCTGAGCGCTCCCAGCCACAGTATATGAGCAGGAGCCTCTCTGGCTCTCTCTATGGGGTGTGATGGGGTTTTCCACAGGCACCAGTAATGGGTGCACTTGAAGGCACTGGAAAGTGCAGGAACAGGGAGGAGGGATTCTGGGGCAGCTCCTGTGAAGAGGAAGAGGGATCTGTGAGAGCAGCTGGAGAACCTATGAGACGCTGTTTGCATGGATAATGTGGGATCGGTACCACAGCAGGAGCCTTTCCCAGGGAGCAGGAGGGAATCCCTCAGGCTGTGCCTGACTCAGGATTTGGTTGTCTGTTTCTAACACGTGGCTTCTCCCTAACAGAAACAAGAGCAGGAGATCACTCGGCTGTGCAACGACTTTGAGAGACAAGTGAGAGGTCAGGACGTGCATGAGCTCCCTTTGTCAGTGCGCTGGGGAAGGCTCCTCTGAGCCTCCCAGCACAGCCTCGAGTAGAAAGAGGGATGGTTACCCCTAGTTCTGGCCAGTTCTGCAGACCCCCAGCATCACACAAACAGAATGAGACCAGATGCCTGTCTTATGGGCTGCAGGGTGCACGCAGCGTACCTGCGGCTGGAGATCTTCTCCATGCAATGAGGTGGCTGGAGGAGTCCTTGCAGAGTCCTCACTCCGCCGTCCTCCTCGGGGGACGTTTCAGGTTTCTCACGGGCTGACTTGGAGCTTTTCCATGCCCTCTTTCCAAGGATGCTATTTCTGGGCTCTGCTCTGCATGGTCCCAGTATAACTGCTCTGCAGGCTGGTGGCTGCTGTGGTGATGCTGCTAACAGGGGCCTCGTCCTCAGCCTGGCGCTGGGTAACGGAGCAGGTCTGCAGGAGGGCCTCACCCAGCTCCTCTGCTCTCCCCCAGAGATTGAGACCAAGTATGCTGAGAAGATGCATGTGCTGCGGAACGAGCTCGACTTGCGAAGGAAGACTGAGATCCATGAGGTGGAAGAGAGGAAGAACAGCCACATCAGTCAGCTGATGAGGAACCATGAGAAGGCCTTCAATGACATGAAGAACTACTACAACGACATCACCCTTAAAAACCTGGAGCTCATCAGCCTGCTGAAGGTACTGCCTGCACCCCTGCTGCCACCAGCCTGCCCTGCAGAGTGCCACCCTGCCACCATGGGGGTGGTCCTGGGAGGATTTCACCCGGATCTGGCCAGTGCCCAGCTGGTGGTGCAGGTGCTGCTGGTCTCCTGAAGGTTGCATGCTGTTACATGAGCAAAGCTCTTCAGCACAGGGAGTTGTGCTTGCTGGGCCAGCAGCAGGAGCGTGTCTGACAGTGGGGGAAGCTCTGAGGAGCTGGGCAGCCCCTGGGAGTTGGCACTTGTGTTCCCAAGAACAGGAGCAGATCGAGGACTTGCAGATTAGAACAGATCGCTTGGAAAAGGAGAAGGCAGATGCACTGCTCCAGAATAAGCAGCTGAATGAGTCCCTGCAGCAGGCCCAGGAGCAAATCTTTGAGCTGGAGAAGAAGCTGGTCCGCTATGACAAGGACAAGGAGGCCCTAATGGTGAGTGGCCAGCCCTGTCCATTCCCAAGCTGCCCTGGCTTTCCTGGAGGGAGTCACTCAGCCCTGACCTCTGCCACTCAGCTTGTCTGGGTCACTGAGCAAAGTCAGTCCCTTTCAGCTTGGCCGAGTGCTTGTGAGATCTCAGATGGGATTTTCACAGCTCTGAGAAACCAGAGTAGAGGGCAGAGAGATGGCATGGGTGCTGCTTCCTGTCTTTTCCCACCATGTCTCTGCTGGTCACTCTCCTCCTGTGCCAGAACACATCTCCCACACCTCCCAGAGAAACCCTTGCTCTTTAACTGTCTGTCCCCGCTTGCAGAATGCAAAAGCCCATTTGAAAATCACCCAGAAGGAATGGAAGGATCTTCAATGGGAGCATGAGGTGCTGGAGCAGAGATTCAGGAAGGTGAGAGCTGCATGTGGGTCTGGGCATTCCACTTCCCTCTCCAAACCCTGTCCCTGCTGCAGGGGACTGAGCACAGGGGCTTAGCAACAGTATGCATAGCCGAGGGCTTTGCAAAGCTCTAATCCAATGCTGTGTGATAACTGCTGCTCCCAACAAAGCTTCTCCCAGCTTTGGCCTCTCCCACGATCAGCAGACAGGCCTGGCCTTGTAGTTTGCTAAGCAATCATGCACGCTCCAGCGGTCTCTGCCTGGCTGGTGAGGGACTGTGACCACAGCAGCGCCTTGGGGGCAGAGGGATTGTCACGGGCCACCAGCCCCAGCCCAGCTTGTTCCCTCCTTCTGCTGGTGTTCAGGGCTCTCTCCCACATCGCTTGTTGTACCAGGATGAGTCCTGTTAGCTGAGTTCTTCCTGACCCAGCCTTTCCCCCTGCAGCTAACCCAGATAAATCTGTGGAGGCAGAAGGAAGCTCATTTGCAATTCATAGAAATCCCCAGGAATATGAACATTGATCTGAGGCCTTGTTAAACAATCCATCATTAAGGCAGCAACATATTCAGTGCATTCAGAAATAGGCTTTGGAGGAGAGACTGTCCTAATTAGGACACTTACTAACTAGCTGTGAGCCAGGGACTGCTGCCAGCTGCAGGAAGGGGAGGAGAGACCCCCATGTGCTGTGGGGCCCTCTCTGAGGGCTAAAACAGAGCTGCAGTGAGTCCCTCAGCCCGTTGGGCTCCCGGGGGTGGCCCATACCCAGAGGGGAGGTGGCAGCAGAAGTGCAGGTACCATCCTGAGAGGGAAGGAAGCAGTGCTGCAGCACCTGCCTTCTGGTGCCGTAGGGAATAGCTAGGCTCCTGCTGGAGCAGGGCTGAGCTGCCAGACCTGTTTGCAGGAAGAGCCCTTGCTGGGGGTCCTGAGCATACTGTGAAAGGTGGGCTGTGTTTTGGGGAGCAGGTACAAGCGGAGCGAGATGAGCTCTACCAGAAGTTCACCAAAGCCATTCATGAGGTGCAGCAGAAGACGGGGTTCAAGAACCTGCTCCTGGAGCGCAAGCTGACGGGACTCCTTGACATCCTGGAGAAAAAGGAAGTGGAGCTCAGCGAGGTCTTTGCTGCCTCCAAGCTCGACCAGGGTGCCCTCACCCTGGTCTCACGCAAGCTGGAGGTACCTGTGAAGGCTGGCTTGGGTGGGCAGAGGCTGCCTGGGGTTGAATGCAGACCTTGGAGCCTGCGAGTCCCTCATCCTGCATGGCTGGAGCTGCCACGTCACCCATTCCTGGCACTCCCAGGGCCATGCACGGTGCCGCAGGGCACTCCAGCTCTCCCTCGAGAGCAGAGCACGTGGGTGTCGGGGTTTGGCACTGCTCTGTCCCTCAGGTGAGGCCTGTTTTGAGGAGAATGGCACCAGGCCAAGCAGCCTTCACCAGCACGGTGCTGCCGAGCAGCCGCTGCATACAGGGCCACCAGCGACCCAGGGTGTCTTGTGCATGGGGAGTCACAGCTGGGGGACCCTGCCTGGCCTCCCTGGCTGCAGAGACGGTGCAGACAGGTTCCCAGGCGCCCTGCAGAGTCTGCCCTGCTAAAAATACCCGTGCAGAAAGCCCTGGCGCGGAGGCTGGGAGACCCACATTCCTGGAGCCTGCCGCAGACGTAACCGGAGAAGCAGCACTTACTTGGATTGGGTGGAGATGCAGGAGATGTGGGCTCCACACTCGGCTTGGCCACCATCCTGGTACCCTCTTGCTCATCTGACACCAGCCTGTCCCCTTACAAGTGCTTTCTGTGGTGGGCAGCAATGACGCTTGTGTTCACCCTCTTGCAAAGCGTGCCCTGGGGATGAGCACAGCAGCAGCCAAAGCCCTGGGGCCATAGGATGGATGTGTCTCCTACTAGCAGGTGACACAGCAGCAGGAAGCAAAACACATTCCTGGGAAGCTCTCCCACAGCTGCTGGGGTCCTGGAATTCTTATGCTCAGCTGCTTCCAGCATCTCCTCAGGGAGCCCCTCTCCCTGTAATCCCCCTGGTGCCGCAATGGCAAGGCAGTGATACGGGAGCACGTGCTGCTGTTGTGTCCCCCTTGCAGAGGGGCAGAGATGACGGCAGGGCTGTGCTGGCACTCGCGGTGTTGGTGCGGGAGGTCCCTGTCCCTTGGTGCTGGCTGTCCCTGGCAGCGCTGGCTCGGAGGGCACAGGCTGGTGGCTGCCTGCCAGGCCCTGCTGTGTGCATCTCTGCTGGAGCCAGGCCCCGGTGCTAGCCCAGCCATGCCACCAGGGCTGGGCAGCCACTGCCCAATGCACCCTCTCCCTTTGCAGGACGTGCTCAACTCCAAGAATGCCACCATCAAGGACCTGCAGCTCCAGCTGGCGCGGGTCTGCAAGGTGAGGGAAGGGGATGGGGGCTGTTGGATGATGGCTGCAGCTTGGGGGGGGGATCGGGGTGTGGAAATGGGATGTTCTCCTCCAGGCCTTGCCTGTAATGGGGGGGAATGGATGCATAACAGGCCAGCTGAGCAGCTTCATGCCCTGGGCAGGCAGGACCCAGCTCAGGCTACTGTTTGCCTGGCACAGGAAGATGTGTTGGGGTCCCTCCTGGTGGAGGGGGGTACCCAGGCACAAAGGGGCTGCCTTGGAGCTGGGCTTCGGGCTGACCAGGGGGACACTTCTCTTGCAGGCACACAATGACATGCTGCAGACATTCGAGGCAAAGCTGACAGCCTTTGGGATCCCTCTGGACAATCTGGGCTTCAAGCCCCTGGAAAACCCCATGCTGGGACAGGGCCCCGCAGGACTTGTTGCTGTACCCATCTGATGCCAGCCTGCACAAGGGACCTACCAGAGCCAGGCCAAAACGGGGAGCAGGGACACCCCCCCCAAGTCCCCTTATTTCCTGTGCTGGACTCCCTGGCTGTGCTGCCTGGGGCTCTCCTCCTCTCCCCCTCCAGAATTCAGGAAAGCAACTTATTTTGGAGACAGATGGTGCTGTTTGAAGCCTTTAATGGTGTTGGTGGCATAATTCTCCCCCAGTGAGCTGTGTCCCTGAGGGAGGAAGGCCGTGCCTGTCCCCTAGCTGCCCCGGTACGTTGTGTAGGAGTAGGGACTGATCAGCAGTGGGATGTGCAGCTTCTTGGCCGGGTCTGTGATGGTGAAGACAACCTGGAGGGCAGAGTGAGGAGGCAGCAGCTGGGATCTCCATGCTGGGGCTCAGCTGGGGTGCTTGGAGCATGTGTGATGCTCCTGCAAGCCTTGCCACGGCACCCAAACCCCTGTCCCCTGCTCCCTCCACTCTGTACCTCCACAAAGGGGTAGAAGCTCTCGTGCCCCAGGCGCTGCCAGTATGCTGCTGTCTCAAAGTGCAGCTTGTAGGTGCCAGCCTTGGCCTGCCCTGGAGCCAGGAGGGACTGGCAGCGGCCATCCTCATCCGTGCACCTGAAGGGGAAGCAGCGAGCCCTGCCGCGATGCTGTCCATCACCAGAGGACCACCGTTAGCCCTGGTGTGAGGGCTGAGCAGTCTGTGGGCTCATGGGTGGCTGGGCAGCAGCACCCTCTGCCCATGTCGCTGCCGCTGGCTCTCCTACCTCTGCAGCAGCTCCATCCACTGCGGCCCCGGCTCCTGCAGCAGGGACAGGCTGAGGGCAAGGCCGGCTGCCGGCAGCCCCGTGGCCGTGTTCAGCACGTGCGTGGTCAGGGAGCCGTTCACCGCCTCGGACATGCCTTTGGCCTGGGTCAGAAGGGTAAGCAGGGCTGGGATGCCTCCTGGCACCACCTTCTGCCTCTTGGTGTCCCCCCGGCCCCAATCCAGGGGGGTCCTGGTCCAGCTGCCTGTATGCCCCCTCCCTGCAGCCTATGAGCCGGTGGCTGCGCAGTCAGGGCTGGCTCAGCACAGCCGCAGATCCCTGCTGCGCCCCAGGGCCCAGACACGGGTGCCCACATGCTTCCCGTGCCGTGGGGCTCAGCTCTGCAGTGTGGGTGCCTGCCAGGGTCCTGCCTCCCCATTCACCACGCACCCGTCCCGGTGGGCCGCGGTACGGCGGCAGCAGCAGCTGGCCTGGACCCAGGGAGAAAGCGGCCCCGTATCCCGGCAGCCCCGTATCCCGGCAGCCCCGTGTCCCGGCAGCCCCGTGTCCCGGTTGCCCTGTGTCCCGGCCGCCTTCCCTGCCTGCAACGTCACGGGCAGGCGGATGTTAACCCTGCAGGCACTCAGGAGCTGCCAGGGGCTGTGGTGCTGGGGGCTCCGGGGCCCGTTCCCCTCCGTGACCCCCCCCCGGTTGTGCTGGCAGGATGGGAGCACGTCCCGGGGGCTGCCCGCCTGGAGCAGCACCAGCTCTGCTGCCTTCCCAGCCCCAGGCCTTGGCTGCTGAGTGGAGCAGGGATGCCAGAGGGGCACGAAGGTGAGCAGGGGTACGCGGCTGCTTACCTGGCTGTCGCCCATCCTGCTCAGCCCAGGCCCCGCAGCCGGTGGCACTCTGCAGGACGCCATCCCCGCTCAGCTCACACCTCCTGGCACCGCGGCCTCTCCCCACGGAGCTGCTGGGGCTGGATGCTGCTATCCCAGCGCAGGGCCGCAGCAGGACTGGGCGCTCCTCCCCAGCTGGGCCGAGCCAGAGCAGGTGGCTTCCCCTGGGAGGTGCATCCCGGAGCCCCACCGGCACCCACGCTCCGCAGCACCGCGGCCCCGGGGCTGGTGGACCAGAGCCTGCCAAGGAGGAGCCAGGAGCAGCCCCAGCGGTGCTGCCAGCCCTGGAAAGCGCCCGGTGCGGTGCCAGCTGGGCACCTGGAGCTGCCGGGACCCAGCGCCGTCAGCACCATGATCTAACCCTGCCCAGCTGCACCGGGGTGGGCTCAACGCCTCACCTGCACCGTGGTGAGGGTGGTGTCAGGGGCCTGCAGACCGTGACCTTCCATGTCAGCTGCTGGGGTCTCCAGGGTGTATTTGGGGACCGCCTGCAGCGAGAGAGTGGGTCACCCCCAAATGGGGTGACAGCCGGGCTGGGGGGCAGCAGGATGTACCCAGGGCTCAGCCGTGACACCAGCCCTGTGCTGCTATTAATGGGAAACATCTGGGGCTGGGGCTGGGCTGGTGTCTGGCGCAGGATGGAGTACACCACAACCCTGTTATTGGTGCTCACCGTGTCATCTGCGTCAGTAACCAGCACCCACAGCATGGCAGTGCCTGGGAGCAGGTAGTTACCGGTGACATCTCCTACATCCCCTCACTGTCATCTGCTCACTGCCTCCTGCTCGGTGGCATCAGCCTAACCTGGCTCAGCCACCTCCAACACGGTCCTGTGGGACACCTTGGTGAAGACGGGCCGGTTGTCGTTCTGGTCCGTCACGGTGATGATGATCTCCATGGGGTCCTCCACAGGCTGCCCGTTGGCTGACACGGCATGGGAGAAGAGCTGCGAGGGCACCGTCAGCTGCGCGCGGCCCCGGGACCGTCCCGTCCCCCCCATCCTGGCCCCCCACTCACGATGTATTTGTCGATCTCCTCCCGGTCCAGCGGCTTCGTCACTTCCAGCCACCCCGTCTCCCGCTCGATGGTGAAGACCCCCACGGGGGGGGTGTCCGCCCCCTGCCCCGTGATGCTGTAGAAAACCTTGGTCTCCCTGTCCTTGTTGGATTTGATCTGGTGGCGAGGCAGAGCGCGTTTAGAGGGGTCCCGGCACCACGGGCCCCCCCTCCGCACCCTGTGCCCCATCCCTACGGGGCCACGTACCTGCACCAGCTTCTTGGGGAAGGGCCCCCGCTCGTTCTCGGGGCAGTTGATGGGAGGGATGACCCAGTCCCTCTTCTGCCGACGGAGCCCGTGCCTGGGCTTGGGGAAGGTCAGCACATCGGTTGCAGTGTCCTGTGGGGAGAGCGTCTAAGCTCTGTGCCAGCACCTTGCCAAGCCCCTGCATGCTCTGCTCTGGGGAGAGGGCCTTTGCTGACCCCAAGAGAGGGGGTGCACTTTACCTCTCGCTGCTCCCGGTCATGGTGGCGATGGTGTTGGTGCCACCGCCTGTGCAGGGTCACTCTGGCTGAGTGCTTCTTGCCTGTAGCATCCCATGTGTGGACAGAGAAACTGATCTCCTGCCGCCGGAGCTGCAGGGGCCGGGTGGCAGAGACGACGCCGTCCCTGCTCACCTTGAAGCGTGTGTCGTCTGAGAGGTAGGGGGCACGCCGCTGCTCGCCGCAGTCCCCAAAGCTCACTGCGGACAGGGAGAGCGGGTGGGCATGGGGCTCCTGATGCTGCCCCGGGGAGCTGCTGAGGGCAGGGGCAGAGCCAGAGGGCACATGATAGTGTGAGACAGGCACACGCTACACAGCCACGGCACAGAGACCCGGGGGGACCGTGGGGCAGCAGGCGTGGCAGGGGTGTATTGTGCTGCATGTTCTGCCAGCATCCTGTCCTGGGCATGTCGTGTGGCACAGTACGTGGGGCATCCCCGCTATGGGTGCAGCACGACTGGCTGTACCATTGGATCCCTGCCAGCCCATGACAACAGGCAGATGGCATGCAGGACAGAGCGCCCCTACCTATAGCACCGTGCACTGCACATCCCCACGCTTCACTCATCTATGCCATGTGGCACGACCCCATGCATGGTGCATCCCTGCGGTGCAGCATGTCCCCGGTGTGGCATGTCACCCATGCTGTGCCCTGAGCTGCTGCTACCTCTTCTTTTCAAATAAAATCGGGGGCAGCACCCACTCGCTCGCAGTGACACCCAGTACCCTGAAACCCAGCACCCCGGCACCCATCACCCTGGCACCCAGCACTCCAGCAGCAGGGCTCTAGGGGCTGCCAGCGCACACATGGCTGCACACATGGTTCCATCGGGATCCCACTTCACCCCTGGCACCCAAAAGCGCCCGAGGTTCTGAGCCCCCTCGCAGGGTGCTGAGGACGCCTCTGGACCCTCGGACCCAACCCGAGGCGGTGCTCGAGGCACCCCGAGGTGAGGGGAGAGGACAACGCTGCAGCGCGTGCCCGACGGGACCCCCGCAGCGGCGGGGTAAGCACCCTGATCCCCCCGCAGAGTGGGGGAGACCCCGCCGCAGGGTGCCGAGGTTCCGGGGGGGGGGGGGGGGGGTCCCAAGAGCTGCAGCCCGGGCCGCACTGGGGCCGGGGGGATTTGCGGGGCCAGCGGCCGACAGTGCCCGGGGGTACCGGGGAGGTAACGGGAGCGCTCGGCGGTAGCTGGAAGGTACCGGGATGCCGGGGCGGTGCCTGCGGGGCTGGCGGAGGTTCCGGGGCACAGCGGCGATGGGGGGCACAGAGGCACCGGGGAGGGGTGCACGGGGGGGGGCGGCCGGGGCCGGGCGGGGCGGTACCTGCGCGGCCGCCGCCTCACCTGGACGGGCGCGTTGCAGCGGGCGGGGCGGGACGCGGTGGGCGGAGATCGGAGCGGCGGCGGCGGCTGCAGCGGACGGGCCATGCGGGAGCCGTGCTCCGGGCTCTGCCCGCTCTTCATCATCCTCCTCTTCCTCCTCCCGCCGCTCCTGCCGGCGGCCCCGCCGTGCGTCCCCCCGGGGCTGCGCCGCGGGCAGCTCCAGGCACCAGGTAAGCGGCGCCGTCGGGGCACGGCTCCACCTGGACCCCGGGATGAGCGGCAGCGGGGCCGGGATCGGGACTTCGAGGCCCGGGTTCGGGCCGCGTAGGGGCGGGGGTGCAGCGGGGCCCCACCTCGCTGCTGTGTCGGTCCCGCAGGGCCCTCGGCTTGTGAGGCCGGCACTGGGGCCGGCTGCGAGCCCCAGGCTACGGGGTCGCTGCTTCTCGGGAGAGTATCGGTGCTGCGCAGGGTGTGGGACCGCCGGGGGTCCCCGTGGTGCGGGGCCGAGCCGTGGGGCTGGCGGTGCCCCATCAGCGCGTCTGGCCCCACCGCGGCTGATGCCAGCGCTGGCCCTTCTGCTGCAGCTGCGGGGCACCCACCGGGCAGGGCCGGGTCCCCGCAGGGTGAGCGCCCGGCGCCGGGTTGGCGATGAGGATGGGTGCCCCGGGGCCGCCCGTCTGCGTCCGCGGGCAGGAGTGGGCACCGTGGCCTGCAGGGTCCGGCCGGCCCGAGGCTGGGCAGGGGCTCAGAGCCGCCGGCCTTTGGCGTGTTGCCTGGGCCTGTTTGGCCGCTTCAGCATCCCGGGGGAGCGGGGCTGCTCTGGAACCGCGATCGGAGCCAGCGGAGCACTCAAAGTCCTCCTCGCCTAATGGCTGCGGAGCACTTAAAGCCCTCCCTGGCGGTAACTGCTCCCGCCGTGCCAGGGAGGGATTGGCCCTGACCTTCTCCTGGCGTGGACACCGCATCCCGCTCCCTTCAGCCAAGCTCCTGCCGGGAGCGGGGCTGGGATGGGGCAGGGGCTGGGGTCCCGCTGCACCTTGGTGAAACCCCTCTGTGGGCAGGACGTGCCCCAGGCACCGGCCGTCCGGCTCCACTACTATGTAGGGGGGACACGGTGCCATGCGGGCTCTGCATGAAGGGACCCCGAGCGCACGGTGAGGTCCAGACCCCCGAGGGGGGCAGGAACAAGGCTGCAGGCCCCGACCCCTCTGTGGCACCAACCTCTGTCATAACTGGGGGACCGGGGCTCCTCATACCCCAGTCCCGCTGCCCGGGGTGTCTGTGGCCCTTCCTGCCCCATTATGGCAGCCGTCGCGTCAGGGAGGAGCCCAGAGCGCTGCCCTCCGGGCACGGCTGCTGGACACCGCGTGGGAGCGAGGGGCCCCACCGTGTCCCCGGGGCTCGCTCCTCGCCCCGGTGTGGGGCAGCCGTGGGGCACAGCTCTCCTTGCCCCTCAGCCCCCCCCCCCCCCGCCCTGCTCTCCATCCCCTCCCAGCCGCTCAGCCTCCGGAGCTGGTTTAGCTCTGCTAATCCCCTAATCCTGCCTCCGGCCTCGGTGCAGGTGCTGGGCTGTATCCAGCACTGGGGATGCAGCCTGATGGGGGGGGGGGGGAGGAAATGGGGTGGTTGGGGGCGAGCTGTGCCCCTTGTTCCTGGCCATGGAGGGCTGGGAGCCCCGAGGGGGTGACACAGGGTGGGGGGGGGGGAGCTGGGCAGGGCTCTGCCTGCCCAGGAATTTCCCGTCATCTACAAAACAAAGCCGAAACCTCACCGAAACCTGCGCCGCGCTCCCGGCATCCCCTGCCTGATCCGGCTGATCCGCTTCGGGGGGCTGGGGGGAGCACGGCGGATGCTGGGGGGGACACACGGGGTCCTGGGGCTGAGGGACAGGCTTCCCCCCCCCCCCCCGGCCACCGTGACCCCTGCTCTCTTCCAGCGAGCTGTGGAGGCTGCGTGGGGCCGTACGGGACCAAGGAAGCTGATGTTGGGGCGCAGGAGGACAGGGGCCCCATGCAGCTGCTGGGGGTGGGCAGGGTGCTCACTGCTCCCCCCCGGGATGCTGCCGTCCAGTCAGACCCTGCTGCAGTTCCCGTGTGGAACAGGCGCTCGCCCCAGGTAATGCCTGGCTGTCCCCCACCCTCTGCCCCCCCATCTGAATGCACCTTCATCTTCCTCCCTCCATCTTGCAGTTCCTCGGGGCTCGCAGTGCTCCCAGGAGGCAGAAGAGGGACTGGGTGATCCCCCCCATCAAGGTTCCTGAGAATGAGAGGGGCCCCTTCCCCAAAAAGCTGGTTCAGGTATAGAGGGCTTCTGGGTGCTAGGGAGGGGTCCATCACAGCTACATCGGGGCTGGCAGCGAGGGTGGGGGGTACTGAGCCTCCTCACATCTCCT